GTAAAATAAATTCGAAATAATGGAACCACGAAGGGGTTCCGTGGATGAGAACAGATGAACTGCAGAAAGGCTTGAAGCAAGTGCTCACTTGGGAAAAGCCTTCCCAAACCGAACGGAGGGAAAAGTACGGTGAGAATAACAGCCTTCCCACCCGCCCAACTGTATTTTGATTTTATTACCGGGGTAATTACTCTTTGCGCGACGGCCGCGTTGACGACGACGACGTCAACGCGGGGGTAGTACCCTGGGTGGAGTCTCCCGGCTTTTCGTAGCAGGAGGCCTCATTTCAACCCAAACTCTACGTCGTCGACGACTATTCCGCAGTATTGTAGGTGTACAACATCAATGGCGAAGGCCAAAACATAAAATGTAATTCGGGGAGGTAGCTATCCTCGACACCCGATAACAACACCACCAAAGAGAGTAACGATTGTATCAAAGATAGAAAACTAGAGCAACAGCAGCTGGGCAAAACACGGTGTGTTGTTCTACATGTACAGCGCCTGCACATCGGTATTCCTCCATGACGCCGAATATACGGATTGCAGCCGTCGCGTCAGTCGAACAGTACGGATGTTGATGCTGGAAAGGTTGAGACCTTTTTTTGCCGTGAATACCGAGCCTTGTACCCTTAAGCTCTCTCTTTCTCACTCACCGATCTCGACAGGCATCCACCTCCTCCGCCGAGCAGCCTCCCCTTCCTCAAGGGTTGCTGGCGATGACTCCTCAATCTTGGCGCTGCTGCTGACGCTCGCCGCAGCAGCAGCACCTCGCCTCTGCCGCCTCGCGGCGAAGGAACGAAGGCCGCTACCATTGGCTTGTTCCCTCCTCCGCAACATAGCACCACCGAGCCGAGGAACGCCGCAGTCGCCGGCCGCGTAAGCGTTCGTCTCGCGGGTGGTGGCATGTGTGGTGGAGTGTAGACACAAGCCTCCGACAACAACGCAAGGTTGTTCGCGTGCTGTGGTGCTGTGGTGGTATGTCACCCTGCAATCCTGCCGCCGGCAGAAAAAATGCGGCGGGATCACCACTTCGAGAAAAAAAAAACTACACACACCACCTACCGACGGAAATTTGCCCGTGCTGTCGACGAATTCACATTCCCGGCTGCTGCTTTGACGGTGTGCCAGCGTGCCGCGTGGTATACGGGCGAGATGGATGCAGTGCTGTGCTCCGCGTTGTCCGCGGACAACACAGTCAGGCGGGGAGCGGAGGCGGCGCTAAGCTACGCTAGGACGCAGCGAGGCTTCGCAATAGCGCTCGCGAAGCAGCTCGCTTCCAACTACCATCCTCGTGGGGCTTATGTTGGAGATGGAAATATGGCAAGGGCGGCACCGGCGGCGGAGAGGGAGCGGGACGGAATGTGGATGCCCATGCGGCTTATGGCCGGGATGCTGCTGCAGCACTTCGTGAGGGACCGGTGGGAGCTGGCCGACGATGCCGTGCTTCCCGCAGAGGACAAGATCCAGGTTAGCAGCAGCAGCAGCAGCAGCAGCAGCAAGAGCAGCAGCAAGCGTAAACAAACAGCAAGGAATATCGGTTTGGTTTTTTCGCAAGGACCGCGTCTGGGGAGCGGAGGTAGGGGGTTTTGATGCACCCCGAGGGGTACGAAAAACTTGACTCGAAGACGACAATGCAGACGTTATCTCTTATTTACGGCCTCTCTCTCTTCCCCGGTCTGCCACGACGACGACGGTCTAGCGTGCGATAATCGAGAGAAGCCTCGGATCCGCATGCTTGCTACTTGACTGCCTGGCGGAGCACGCGGAGCGCAAGCAAGAAACAACGCTTGATGAATCCAGTCGGCTGCTGCCGTTCATGTGTACTAAAAATGTGCGCGTGGCCCAACATCCGCCAGTGCTTTCGATCTCGCCGACCCCCTCTCCGACGGCAGTAGTTTTTTCAGCTCGATCTGCCGTGCATGCGTCTTATACATCCTTTCCCGTTGACCGCAAGGCCTCAAGAACAGCAGTCCTACAGCAGGGCTACAGCTGTAGTAGCATGCGTTATTTTGTCCATTTGGCCGGCCGAAAATACGAGCCTGCCCTGTTGGCTGGGGATCTTTTACCGAGATTTTGCCGCCCGCCGTGGCACACACAGAAAAATAACAGAGACCGGTCATTTGCAACGAACGTGGGCACGAGCGTGCGAGGCAGGCGGGCAAGCAAGCAGAGGTTGCTCCATGCAATCGAAAGGCATTGGTATTCGTAGGCCATGCAGAGCTACAGCAGGAGCAGCAGCAACGGCAGTTGCCATTCGGGGTATATGGCTGAACCTCGTAGTGTTGTTTGTTGCCGTCCACAATTGGATGCGTCCTTGTTGTTTAGCCGTGGTGATGGCGGAGATGCGCTGTTGTTGTCGTACAAGTACACACATGCCACAAGGGGGACATCACGAGGATAGTTGTTGGCACACACCGAAAGACTACCCATTCGAGATATGCCAACGGAGTCCCCACACGCTCGCGAGAAAAAAATGGATCGGAATATGCCATGTGCAAGAGGGGAAGCTTGTGTACGGGAAGAGCGGGAGACTCTTCCGCAATAATGACGCGGGGCATTTTTTTCAGAAATCCGCCGGGCATTTTTTTTTAGAAATCCGCCGCACAGGCGGCGGATTACAGTGCGGTAGCACCTGTGACCTTGAACCCGCCCTTACAACAATCTAACCTACGTTGTGGTTGGTGCCTTGCCGAGCATCCCTCTGCGCGGTTCCGGGTGGTGGTGTGTTGGTTGTTTCTATGTTGTTGTTGTTGTTGTTTCTCACATTAGCTCTAAAAAGGAAAGATTGGGAGCCGGTGGTCTCAAAACCCGGCATACACGACCCCACGAAGAAACAGAAAAAAATAGGGTACAAAAACCACTCGGAAGAGAAACAAAATGATAGAAAGAAAGACCAGCTACCGNTGTAGCGTCAACCGTTTCGCCGTTCAATTCAGTGTTCTTTCATTCTTGTTGTTGTTGTTGTTGTCTTGACATTACAAACCGTTCCGATCTCTTGTGCCCAGTACCTTCGCATGTCGGTACTGATCCAACACTGGACGCGGTCGATTCCCGTGGTCGCAGGCTAACTTGCCCTAAAAAGGTAACTCAAATATAATGGCCCCGAGGGGTTCGCAAGTCAATAGAAATGAATGACAGATATTCTGGAGTCCTCCACTCCCTCTGCGCGCTTTGCGAGGTAACAACTGAGACTAGGAGTCACCATCACGTACACCCCCTTGGTTCAATCTTGGTCCTTCACAACGCAAGCAGAGACAAGGCCATCCGGCACAGAAAAAGAGAGAAAAAGAGAAGAAAATAAAAGGAAACAGGAAGGAAAGAGAAAAATAAATAAGAGAGCGAGGACAAAAAGGGACCAGGCCGAAAATAGCAAGAAATACGAGACAGAAAAAGGCACACGGTGGAGAGACCACTATCGACAAGCAAACACGCAAACATGCAGACATGGCCACCAACCAGCGATACACTGTAATGGTACGTCATCACTAGTGGGGGGTTGGTGCAATGGTGCAGCGTTGGGGGGGGGAGAATTGGCTAATAGAAACTCAATCCGGCACGTGTCGCGCCACTCGGTCCGTCTCTTCTCGTTTGCTTTCTTCCCTCGCCGCCTCGTCCGTCTCCTGCCCCCCTCCCGCCCCATTGGTTGGTGGCTTGTGGTTTCGTTTGAGCGCCC